AAAAGATTCCTTCGATGAACCGCATTAGTTTTCCCAGTCAGTGCAGGGAAGACCTTCATCCTCTGACTCTGACTCAGGAGAGGCCTCCTTGATTCTCCTCAGAGCCTCGTGAATGCTGCGGGTCAGAGCGTCGGCCGAGTGGGGGAAGCTTTTGGGATGACGCTGCTGCTCCGGTCTGGTCCGTACCTTCCTAAGCCGGACGCCCTGTCGGATCTGAGCCAGGATATTGTTGCTGTCGTCATCCGGATCCGGGCCCAAGACCCGCAGCTCAGCCTTCCTCAGGTGGAAACTGCCCCGCTTGAGTGATGCCAGCACCTCATCCATGGGAGAGCTCGCTGAGAACACAGGGCAGAGACAATTAGCCTCACATTGTTTAGGCTTGGTTCGCCGTTTAGCACACAGCCAAACAACCTACTGCTGACACACAATTTAGCTCCAACCTCTGTTTAAATACACCATTTCCTGTGACTGATAAAATGCTTCAATTACCTCATTTAAAAGTAGGTACCGAATGAGTGTTATGTGCCTTACATTAAACATTTGTAGTATTAACCAACCATGAAGGTCTCTACTGCAATGAAAAGTTCCCTGCCCACCTCTCCTCCACTGCGACGAGTCCAGAGAAGCCGTCTTCCGCAGCTTTTTCCTCGCCGTTAACAGCTGGCTGCTGTCAAAGAATCGAGGGGAAAATGGAGCCAGCGGGAGCGAGGTGGAGTCAGACTCGCCTTTCTGGTGTTGAAGCGTGACGGCTGTGAGGTTCTTCTGCTGGTCGTCCTCTGAGGTGGGAAGTGGTGGAGGAGGCGGAGGAGGTGGCGGTGGAGGCGGGGGAGGGGGACCCAGTGAAAAGTTTGACGGCGTGGCTGAGAGTGGGGGCAGCGATAGGAAGGGAGGCGAGGGATCGAGGCCTTGGAGGTCGACCGCAGGTAAAGAGACGCTGTCGCAGCCGTACGCGTCCGGCGGGAGAGGAGCAGAGAGTTCTGGGAGATCTGAGATGCAGTCGGTCTGAACGCCGGCAGCCTGGGTGCTGGGCTGCTGCCCAGCACGCCTCCGACTGTGAGTCTGACTCAGGCGCAGGCGGCTTGACTTTAGAGTCACCTGGCCTGGATACCTCTGTGTGGGGAAGCAGCAAGAAAGAAAGTAAAGCTGAAGGACTGAGTGCAGTTTAAGCAACATTACACACATGATTTTGCTTTAACCTCCTAGGACCTGGCGTACACATATGCGGACATCACAATTTGGGTTATTTAGACCAAAATACTACATTTTGCTCTACAAGTGCCTGATATCCACTTACGAGGACATTATACTGCCACTGTTTTATTGAAATTTTAAACAAATATCCTCATATGTGGCTCTCACTTTTCTTAGAAACAAAAATCAGATTCTTTGTTTTTACATCCATCGGGTCCCAATCAGCCCAAATATCAAAGAGAAATTAAAAATGCATGCTGTGGAAGAGTTCGGGTCTTAGGAGGTTAATGTATCAAGACTATGTAGATGTCACTACAAGAACATAAAACACTGTGGACAAACACAAAATCATCTTTTAACTAAAAAAACGAAAAGTTACTAATCATTGGTGTTTGAGGAGGATTCAGTGAAGGTTCCTCCTCAGATGACGTGTGTGTTTATGTTAAGTCCTCACCTGCTTGAGGCTGCGAAGCCTGTCGAGTGTCCTCTGCCTCTCCTGACTCACTCTGGCGTTTCGCTTAGCTTCATCATCTTCATCTCCCTTTTCACAGAAACAGCAAATGAGATGAATGTGTTGTAGCAGGGTGAGGAACAATTGCTGCTTTCACTGCTTTGGTATCGATATTTGAAATTTGTCTCGCAGCAAGCTCTAAATCAAAAAAGTTCGATCATTGCCACAGAATATTTGCCATGTCTGTGAGCATCAAAGTGGACTCCCTGTTTTCTTTCTGGTGCTATAAAAATAAAACTGCATTGAATTAACTGGTAATAGCATCTCTTCATTTACTGACAGAGTAGAACAGTGAATATATAAATCCTATCCCTTGCAGCCACAGATAGAAGTTTCTTACCTGCTGCAGCTCCTGCAGGGATTTGCTGTCAGTATGGCTACCTTGGCGCTGTTGTATCTTCTGCTTGTGATTGATGATGCAGATTTCCTATTTGAGGAAGAACAGAACACAAACATAATGTTATTATAGACAGACCTGTCAAACTGATCCTTAACCCACAGGAGATAAAGCACACGACCGTATCTTTATCCATCGATAATTCACCTTCTTATTTTTGAGGTAGACTTTCTTGGCAGTGATGCGGCCCCTGCGGGCCTCGAGCTGCCGGGTCCTCTGCTGCAGGGTGCAGAGTTCTTCTTCTCTGAGGGGTGACGGTGGAGTCGTGGGGTCTTCTACACCCTTCATGGCATCAGGACTCTCAAAGGTATCGTAGTACACCACCTCATCCTGTCGCTCTGGCAGAAAATCAGAAGACATTGAAGATTCAAATGCTGCTTGTGCAGCTTATACAGCTCGTAACAATGGCTCGAGGATTTGATCTCTGACTGACTATGAGTAGAAGAAAAAGTGGTACTGAGTGATAAAGTCAAAGCAGGACAGCTGTGGTGCCACGGGATAAGCAAAGGACTTAACTGGAGGATGAGGTTGGAAACCAATGAGAAGCCAAAACATTTTGTTTTATACTTGAAAACCACATTTTTCAGCACATGTAAGCATCAGTCACGGGTCTGACACACTGAGCTATAACAGAAAAAGAGAAAGAAAAATAACAAGCTGAACCAAACCATCTAAAGAGATGCTCACCTGTCATCTGCCTGCGCAGACTCTGCAGCTGGGCAGTGAGCAGCAGCTCCTCGCAGCGCAGCACCTCGGCCTGAATGTCATACAGTTGCAACTGTAACTCATAGTACAGCGCCTCCAGCTGGTCCAGGCGAAGCATGGCATCCTCCCCACCCTGTAGACTCTGCATCTACAACAACAACCACAGAGACTATTTCAAAGGCCAAAGGGCACCGTCCACAGGATTTTCCAAAAGCTCTACCTGAGTGACTGTGCATTTATATTTCAAATTAACAGATCCGGTGGAAGCTGAGCCAGTGTTTGTGTCTTCTCTAAGTGCTATGCTACAACACACAGACCAGGTACATTTTTAGTTTTAGTGTATTTTCAAATGCACAGCAAACATTTGACCTGACAGTCATTCCCAGTGAGTCATTTCCACTCCTGCAGACCAGGAAGTTGTTCCCTCCATTACAGGATGCCACAGCCATGAGCTCATTTTTCCAACACGGCTATTATCTCGAGTTCTTCTCTTCTGTTAACTTCACTATATCCATGTCCTCTTATTGTGGCTTCTTAAAAACAAACCTGACGGAGCACCACCTTTTCAGAACACACCCAGATACACTTCAGAATTTTGACACCGATCTTGGTCCACACATGTGATTTGTTTTTGGGGGGTTTTTCAGCAGCATCAGCATGTTATGTTTTACCTCCTCCTTCAAGCCATGTTTCCTCTGTTCCAGGCAGATCTCTTTGGCCCTCATGAGCTGCAGAGTTTCTTTGGAAACGGCAAACTGCAGCCGCTCCATGCGTTCAACCGCCGCTGTCCACGCTGACTTCCCAAACTTTCTCTGGTCAGCTCGCATCCTCTCGTATAGAGCTATAACGCATACAGTAAAGAAGTAAGTGAAAAGGGCTAGAGCTGCAGAGATTAGTCAGCTAGTTATCTGACAAATGATTAGACATTTAAACAGCAGTTTAATGACCATAATTGTGGTTAATAGTTTTGAATCATTTGGAGCAAAAAGAACATGTGAAAAAATGGTTTGGCCTAAACGCTATAGTTTATTTCTGGAGCGTTAAATGCCTAAAATGGACAAACCAGCAGTGCTGTGCTTTGACTTGAAATCCGAAGTAAATAAAGCCCATTTGAGGAAAAACACATTTTTATTCCAATTCATAGCAGAGAAGGTTTGAGGATTAAAATGTGTCACGAGTCAGGGTGGAGTGTATGTTAATGACTTTGGTATGCCAGAGGTTGGAGATGAGAACAGAGCCAGAATGTTTTATTCTCACATGATCTCTAAGCGCTCTCTTATGAAGTAAACATACTTTTATAAAGGTTCAAAGGTCACCACAAAAACAACGCCACACATTGTTTTCTGAAGAGAGAAACTAGCCTCCTGTGTGTGTTTACCTTTCTGAGACCGAGTTGTGGTTTCAAAGAACTTGACAGTCAGGTCTTGAATGGAAAGCACTGCGGCGTGAGCCTTCTTCTGCCACTCCTCGTCCTCTTTTCTCAGGCTCTCCACACGACGAGGGCCGAGTCGCTCAGTCTCCAGAGAAATCTGGCAAGAGTTAAGGCAGCTTGTTAGAACAGCTTAAATGTACAGTACTTAGATCAGGTATCATCAGTGAGGTAACAAGAGTTTGTATAGGAAGATTTTGCAACACATGTTGGTATTTATGTCTTGGTCTTACTGTTCTTTAATAATGTTTTTTTTAGTCTATCTTTGTTTACATTTTGGCAAACAGGCTCCAATTAAATGATGCCAAACTAGCAGCTGTCGGTTCCTGTTTATGTATGTTTATGTATACTGGATTACTTTGAAACTGTAGAAAACTAAAAATATGTGTAAAGCACATTTCAGAGTTAGATGGAGATTCCCAAGCAGTTTTATGACCATCGTAGACTGTATATAAAAGATGGACGCAGCTTCCTGGTCTGAAATTTAAAGCAGACGAGGAAGCTCCTATTAGGCCACAGTTTTGTTTTTTTTCCTGATGAGTTTATGGACTTGATAATTGAATTTCAAGCAAGAAGCAACATTCTTGTGCCAAAAACTTCAGCTCTAACTGCGATTTGAGCCAATCCCTCTAGACTCACACGTCACAAAACCCAACTTCAGAGCATTAGAAGGCATGTTCACACACACACACACACACACACACACGTTTATGTATATATAAATATAAAAGAGATCAATTTTTCAATCCCAGCTGGGCTAACTTGGCCCAAAGAGAAATCCATTGCCTTAACTGCCTCTTTGAGCTCCCTTTTGTTTGAAGAACACTGGCATGCACCTGTTCTGATCATTGTATGCCCCGCCTTCCTTTCTCCAAATGCCACTTCACGTATGCCAGTTTGAAAACCACCACAAAAGACCATCTATAGCATTCTGAAATACCAGGAAGTCACAGCAGATGGTGATAACAAAAAGGAAATGGCTTAGGCGCGTCTGTGCACGCTTATACAGTGACACTGACCCAGTATACTTGTGAACAATAAATAAAACGATACATGCACAGAGGTCTTTTTTTTCCTCCTGCCATGTGAAAAAAAGAGTAAGAAAAAGAAAAGCGGTGTCACGTGGAGTTGTGTTCTGGGTGTTGAGGGAGAAATACAAGCCCCTCTAAGAGAGGGCAGGGAACAAAATGTACACACAATATAAGCTAAACTCCTTGCGAGGGCCTCCTGTGCATGCAGTCGTATTTCAATATCTTGATGCAAAACAGATGTGCGTAGGTGCTCAAAAATAAACAAGACTATAATAATCCCAATCAAAGCCCAAAGGCTTTGATTTATGTTAACCAGCATACTCTGTGCTTTTATTCTTGTGCAAGTGAGGCACAAGAACAGGGAGTGGTTCGGGGGTGAAACCGGGAGCAAGCGGGGGAGGAGAGTCTACATCAAAAGAAAAGAAAAAGTCTGGCAGGAACAAATCTTAGAAAGTATATTATTTATTCACCTAAAAATTACAACAACATGAGGAAACAAGAGCAAGGTTGCCTTTTAGCAGGTCGATCCCACCTGGTGAAGATGGACAGACATTCACCAGCCTCCTTTCCTTTACCTCTTTGCATGCCATCACTGACTTTGTCCCTGCTGACCTCGGCAGCAAATCAAACTGAAGAAAACATCTCTGCATAAAGTTGGCTCTTGATCATCAGTCTGTTAGACTGGTTTTATGCAAAGCTGAAACGCATCCAGACAACTGACAAAATGCATCACCTGCTCTACGAGTGAAGCAGGCCAAAGCCCGTTGAAATGTAACACAAACACTAGCATTTGGGGAATTTCCTGAAATGTGCATTGTTTGAATATACTTGGTGTCTGATCAAAGTCTCAGTAAGTTATGGAAATAAAAGAAGTGCGGTGCAAACAAGTGATGATTCACACCTGTAAAGTTGCTCGGAAAAGGTGACACATTCCTATGACTAATATACATTTGGACTGTGAGCCAAAAGTAGTAAAGGAGTTTTACATTTTAGTTACATGTCAGCTTTGAAATGCTTTCTGCATGTTTGGCTGTCTGAAAAACAGGCCAAGTAGCCACACAAATAAAATTAGCATCCTTTTTCCCCCAGCCTGCTCCCTTCTAGCATTTTATCACTCACTTCCTGCATACAGTTTAAAAATACAAAAAACAATGGTGGTGGGGGTTGGGGGGGGAGTTACGTCTGTTAACACCTCTGGTCATGGTGTCATACAGTGATATGTCAGCCCTACTTAAAACAGAGGTGTGACGCCATTTCCCACGCTAAAGTGCTGGGATTACAGGACGGATGCTGTCACGGTAGCCCTTATCTCATTTGATTAAAATAGCATGACTGTGGTAGATACGAGGCAGTCTTCATCAAACAATTATTTATAATTATTTGAAAAACCTGCAGTTCCTCCAAAGAACCAATTTTAAATCGTATCGTGAGGCACTTTGTTACTAGCATCCTGTTGCAAAAACACAGGAGTGAATGTATTAAAAAAAAAAAAAAAAAAAAAAAAAGACAACACAGTTAACCAGGGATAAAATATAATTTTTTGGACCAGGAAGGTGATTCTCAATCAGATATTAGCTGAAAACTTGACATGTGCAGCGTGTCCTTCACATCTACAGGAAATGAACAGTATCTGAAAGTCACGTCCTGCAAAGAACTGACACAGGCCTGGGACGTGCATCTGGCCTAACAGTCGATCAAGCAACTGTTTCCCGAAGCCTTATCAGAGATACTCTCAGTGGGAGGGTGGCCGCCAGGAATCAATCTTAAGGATGGGAAACAGGCCAAACTGCACAAGAACTGGATTGAAAATCAGTGCCAACATGTTTTATGAATTACTGGATCAAAATTTTACATCTTTAGTCATCAGTATGTATTGAGGAGGTAAAAACAGAAGTACAACAGTGAGTGTCTACAGTCATCTGTAAAACATGGTGGTGTCTTGGTCATGGTTTGGAGCTGCTGAGAAGGAAGTCCTTCAATATATGATTTATTTAATTAACTTTGAACTTAAACATTTAGACCACAAAGAAAAAATGAGGACTTCTATAACTAGTAAAAAAAACAATTAGATTAATTGCCTAATCAGCTAATTTATGTGCATAGAAATGTTTTCTCTTAGCCCCTTTCCACTATTACCTACTCGGCTTGGCTCGGCTCAGTGTAAAGGGTTTTCCATTAGATGGTATCAACAGACAGGCTTCCACACATTGGCCAGTCACTGACTTCACTCCATGAGTCATGAGAGCGACTACGTCACAAAACCCGCCATTTTTGAAAATGGCTACACAAAAAAAAACCAACAACACCGCGGTCCCCAAGTTTGACGAAAAGCTGTACACCGAGCAGCAGGTATACCATCGCGTCGACGTCCTCCATTGTAGGGTTGTGTGTGTCGCATGCAAATGGCATCACAGGACTTTCAAGAGCATTGGTGTAATGACCCCAGGCACATTAGGTGACATTCATATGTAATGAAAGCCACCAAAACCGAGCCAAGTCGAGTCCCTTCGAGTCGAGTTGAGTAGGTACTAGTGGAAAATGGCTTTTTGAGTCACAGGAAATTAAAACAAAGCTGCCTCGGTGACACACTGAAGTAATGACAAAAGAAGTCGAGGAAATAAATGTTTTTCAGTGATGCAGGGCGGTGGAGAGGTGGAGCATAGATAAAAGAGCAGAAGAACTTAGCAGAGGTGAATCTAGTGTAGCATGTTGACAACTGTTGCCATGTTAGAATGAATACAATGTGAAACTGTAACTGGAGCTCACCATGGCACAAAACCATCTCTGCCATGCCACAGTGAAACCACATTTTTAATTCATGGCTGCCCTCTGACCTCCTGAGCAACAGGACACCCACGCTGGACTGCTCCGACATGCTACGGACAATGCACCGTTCACCAAAATGCCTGATGAGAGAACATTCATTCAATTTTCCATCAGCTTTTCGCTGTTTCTGGTAAGCTCAGATGTCTCCAGTTGAGAGCGTGAAACCCTTTAGCTGAAAATTCACAGCTGAGCAGTAACAATGGTCAAATTAATGATTAAACACATATATTCATACATCTCAGCTCCTAGTTTGTCAGCAATATTCACTGCTTTCTGACATTTTACAGGCTAAACCATTTTAAAGTTAATTTAGGAAAAATAATGATCTCCAAGAAGATTAACCTAACTTTTAAGTACCAAAAAATATATCATGCGAGTATTAAATAATTTTTTTCCAATTCTCTCTAATGTGTAATACCTCTACCTGACAAGATTACACCTTACTTAGATTACTTTCAGACAGTCATTTCCTCTTATGTGATTCCATCTGATTATGTTAGCTTCGTATATGAATGGCAGTCTGGTCACTTTTCAGTAAAGGTCAAACATGCATCACTTTAAACTTTCAATACATCCTGAGTCTGAATGCACGTAGTCACATTAACAGCATGCACAGAGCTCTCCTCCATCTTCAGTTGATTAGCTCACAAGGGGACAATTTTTTTTTTTAGAGAAATCATCATCATGTCAGGGGCAAAAAAGAAAGGAAAAGAAACTGTTAGACTGTTTATTAAATATCCGGCTACTTCAACATTTGCAAACATATAAACAGAGTGAAAAAGATGGTTTGCTTGCTTTTAGTTGCCACATCCACTCACAGGCCTCTATTCTAACTATCACAGATTTAAGACGTTATCAAATAAAGCTTTACAATTTCAATAAGGAGAACAGAGTCTGGCTAATGGAACTCTTCCTGTTCTTTGGAATCTCATGTACAGAACATTATATACCGCAAGTACTATGCATGGTTACATTACTGTTGCAGGAACACTTACATGAAGCCATAAAAGTGACATGTCTGAATAACAGGACGTCACCATTTAACAGACTGATGAAACCAGCATTGTTGTTTATTTAAAAGGGCTCCGCTGTAACATTGCAGCGTGTAGGTCCTTGAAGCACTTTGGTCTTTTCACAATAACCTCATACATGCCATGTGTATTACTGCATTCACACTTGCAGATGAGGTCAGAACAGGTTATAATACTAGCACCCGTCTGCCTTTTTCCTCCTCACCTTTACGACAACAAGCAGGATGCAAACTGCATGTAAGTGACAATCTCCTATGTGCTGATTCCCTCTTACACCTCTTCCCCTTTCTTCACAAAGGAGAGAATCTCCACAAACCCCTGACTCATCAGTTTGAAAAAAGCCAGCTCCCTTTAGTCTGTATCAAGGTATCATTTGCATACAGCTTTGTTTTCAGCCGTTGGATCGCCCTGAAGGGAGCAGGTGGTACAGCTGGAAAAACTTGGGCACATGAAGCACATGGAGAAAATAAAAAAGGTTTGAGGTAAAAGTTGAAATAGTTGCATTCATTAGACACTACATTAAAGTTCAGGTTTAACATCATACCACACACAGACTACCAAACAAATGCTGAAGGATTTGTTTTCAGCAATGTAGCAGATCTATAAAACCTGAGGAATTAAAAGAAAGTAACAGAAAGTCCGACTCTCAGACTCTCGCTGATTGTAAAACACCTGAAAAATCTTGGGGTAAAGAAGAAGAAGCAGAAGAAGAAGAAGAAGAAGCAGAAGAAGAAGAAGCAGAAGAAGAAGAAATGTAATCTTAGGAAAACATTTTGATGTTTACCTGTTTTTATTTATCTATTTTATTCACAATCACAAATTCTCTATTTCATATTTCAACAGTTAAAGCAATATTATAAACATTACTATGTAGTATATAAAAATGCTGTCATGGGCTAAGCTTGCCACATGCTGGACTACATTTCCCATAATGCAATTCATAAGCTCTTTAATTCAACAAAACGCCATGCTTTTATAGCCCCACCTACCCACCCGCAGCACAACAGTTTGTATTGCAGCATTGTAGTAATCTACACAAAAATGTACAAAATGTCAGTGAAGGCTTCACACTTTGCACAGTTCATCAGAAACACATTGCTTATTTCTACTGGATTTTTTTTTCCACAGCATAAACAAGACTGCTAATCTTAAAACATAAGACTGCCAACACAGCTTAAAGGATTAGTTAATCTGCATTAATGGGTTACACAAGTTATAAGCAAAAAATATTCACTGGTCATGGCCGGTTGTGTCAAATGTAAAATATTCACAATTTTTACTATTTTCTACCTTTTTTCCTTGGTGCTTTGCACTCTCTTGCTCAAAAGAAAGATACAAAAAATATAAATAACTAATTGGCTATAGCAAAATACCAGAAGCTTTGAAAGATAAAATACTTCTCTTAAATTTGAAAAAAGAAATCTGTAGATTTACTGATTCAGAAATATTTTTCTTATTGTCAATAAATAAAAAAGACCAACAATCAATGACGTGTTAGCCCTCCTCTAAAAACAGGTTGTGAAAAGAAAGATTTTTAGTAACACTAACTTTACACTTTATTTACAGGAAACTATTTTAGGTTATAGATAAATCCATGAAGCCTTTGGTAGCTGGACATTTATAACAACAAACTACAGTTTATATTTGACTCAGTTCCACTAAGTGCAACACTGATGTGTTTTTAATATATCTGACAACAGTGGAGTTTTGCGTACAGCGAGTAGAAAAATGTACTAACACTTAAAATTTAGATTTTTTTTTTCCTTTTTTCCCTAACTATTGCAAATATTTAGACTTCTCCTTAAAAAAAAGTGCAAAGGGGAAAACAGTGAAATATCTCACTTAATATCAGCATCCGCCCAAAAACCATCATAACACACACTCAGAAATCACACCCAAGACACACACACACACACACACACACAGGCACTTGTGTTGTTAGTGACAAGATGCCGAATAAGCATGCTGTGAAAGGCATGTTGACAATGTAAAATACTCACAGCCCAACTGTGGGTGAAAGACTGAGACAGTCTATGAAAGAGAGAACAAAAGACAGGTAGAGAGATAGTAATAGGGACTGTATGGGACATTATTTCTATTGTCCATTAAATTAATGTCCATGAAACGTGCCTAACATGCGTTGTGCTTATCAGTGTAGACTGACTCTGTTTAGAAATTAATGGCAATTATTTACAAACATTCACCAATCTGTCTGACAGTGTTTGCCATCAGTCTGAGCTAGACCACAACTATTTGGATACAGGATGACTCCCAAGAGACAACCCAGGCAGTCGCCTTGTGATCAAAAGTCAGGGATGCTGCATGACCAGTCTGTGGGCAATCAGGTGATCACCCTGACCACTTTTGTGGCTGAATGTAAAGAAATTCAGTGCAATCACAGCAACCTGACCTAGTTGCAAGACAGTTGTTGTCCTATTTTTACTCTAGCTAACTTCTAGTCTGATTGTCTTGGCTGAAAATATGAACTATCATATTAGTGAGAAATCAGCTGAATTATCCAATTTTCGATTGAATTTCAATGTTATGTATATCACTTCTTATCCGCTGAGCTTTTGGACAAGTGTACGAGAAGCAGCTAGAACTCTGACCTACTGACTGAGCAGGCATGTGCCTCCTCCTCTCCATGAAGTCTGTGAGACAGTAGGGATTAGTCTGTGGATTTACTTCCCTTTCCAAGCCTAATGAAGAAAAGCAACAAAGACAGAGCAGAGAAAGAGAGTGGGAAACAGAAGGCTGTGCTGAGGCTGCAGAATTACTGAGTGGTTTAGTGACTGCTGCAATAATACTTATGCTGGTTAAGCTGCTCTGCGCTGGGGGAAAGCCTCTCTGCTGATCCTCTGACCTCCACAGCCCCCAGTAGCAAATGCATAGCGCAGAGCGGCTACTACCCAACCATCAATACCACTGCACCCAGCCTAAACACCTAACACTGCTGGTCAATGCACTTGGCTTAGAAGTGTAGGCTCATCATGCAGCGGTTCAGGGATCGTTTTCCAGCACTAATCAAACCATAGCAACAGCACTTTAACTGCTAACATGCACCACTGTAGAGCACGCCGACCAGTTAGTCGGCAATAGCTAGTGCTAAACCTACTTAAATCAAGCCCCTCAAACAGATGGTATTTGTATCAGTGTGCCTGTGTGTATTACCTTAATCTGCTGTCGGCGCAACATTGCCAGTTCCCTCATGTCCCTGAAGGGCTGAAGCAGGTAGTGATAGAGCTGAGTTGTGGCTTCCAGCAGCTCTCCATACGCTTCGTCCTCCTCCGGGTACACCTGCAGCAGCTCCACCATGCTGTCCATCGCTTTGTGTTTATCCAGCACCTGGAGGTAAAATGTGCATTGAACAGTACAGTCAGACAAACAGTCCACACAGTGAAAAACACTGCACTGGAGTAAAAGGTTGCTGATGCGAGAAATCTCTTTAATAAATTCCACAATAATAACCCAAAAGACTAAACATTTCAGGCTTTACAAAGCCCTAGTGGTTGCCAGTAAAGACCAAAATCTAGACTAAAAGTGCCACAAATAATAGTTTTATAGTTTTTACAGGCTTGTTAACCACTAATTACTGTACTCTGTAGCTTTTAGCTGGGTGTAAATACAGGGAGTGCAGAATTATTAGGCAAATGAGTATTTTGTCCACATCATCCTCTTCATGCATGTTGTCTTACTCCAAGCTGTATAGACTCGAAAGCCTACTACCAATTAAGCATATTAGGTGATGTGCATCTCTGTAATGAGAAGGGGTGTGGTCTAATGACATCAACACCCTATATCAGGTGTGCATAATTATTAGGCAACGTCCTTTCCTTTGGCAAAATGGGTCAAAAGAAGGACTTGACAGGCTCAGAAAAGTCAAAAATAGTGAGATATCTTGCAGAGGGATGCAGCAGTCTCAAAATTGCAAAGCTTCTGAAGCGTGATCATCGAACAATCAAGCGTTTCATTCAAAATAGTCAACAGGGTCGCAAGAAGCGTGTGGAAAAACCAAGGCGCAAAATAACTGCCCATGAACTGAGAAAAGTCAAGCGTGCAGCTGCCAAGATGCCACTTGCCACCAGTTTGGCCATATTTCAGAGCTGCAACATCACTGGAGTGCCCAAAAGCACAAGGTGTGCAATACTCAGAGACATGGCCAAGGTAAGAAAGGCTGAAAGACGACCACCACTGAACAAGACACACAAGCTGAAACGTCAAGACTGGGCCAAGAAATATCTCAAGACTGGTTTTTCTAAGGTTTTATGGACTGATGAAATGAGAGTGAGTCTTGATGGGCCAGATGGATGGGCCCGTGGCTGGATTGGTAAAGGGCAGAGAGCTCCAGTCCGACTCAGACGCCAGCAAGGTGGAGGTGGAGTACTGGTTTGGGCTGGTATCATCAAAGATGAGCTTGTGGGGCCTTTTCGGGTTGAGGATGGAGTCAAGCTCAACTCCCAGTCCTACTGCCAGTTTCTGGAAGACACCTTCTTCAAGCAGTGGTACAGGAAGAAGTCTGCATCCTTCAAGAAAAACATGATTTTCATGCAGGACAATGCTCCATCACACGCGTCCAAGTACTCCACAGCGTGGCTGGCAAGAAAGGGTATAAAAGAAGAAAAACTAATGACATGGCCTCCTTGTTCACCTGATCTGAACCCCATTGAGAACCTGTGGTCCATCATCAAATGTGAGATTTACAAGGAGGGAAAACAGTACACCTCTCTGAACAGTGTCTGGGAGGCTGTGGTTGCTGCTGCACGCAATGTTGATGGTGAACAGATCAAAACACTGACAGAATCCATGGATGGCAGGCTTTTGAGTGTCCTTGCAAAGAAAGGTGGCTATATTGGTCGCTGATTTGTTTTTGTTTTGTTTTTGAATGTCAGAAATGTATATTTGTGAATGTGGAGATGTTATATTGGTTTCACTGGTAAAAATAAATAATTGAAATGGGTATATATTTGTTTTTTGTTAAGTTGCCTAATAATTATGCACAGTAATAGTCACCTGCACACACAGATATCCCCCTAAAATAGCTAAAACTAAAAACAAACTAAAAACTACTTCCAAAAACATTCAGCTTTGATATTAATGAGTTTTTTGGGTTCATTGAGAACATGGTTGTTGTTCAATAATAAAATTATTCCTCAAAAATACAACTTGCCTAATAATTCTGCACTCCCTGTATAGTTAAATCAATAGTTAGTCAATCAGCAACAGATTTAATGATTAAATAGTGACTTAAGTCTTTTTTTTTTTTTTTTTTAAGTAAAATTCTCTAAGTTGACTGGTTTCAGTTAAGGTGAATATTTGCTGGTTTCCTGATAGTAAAGTGAGTCTTTGGGGCCTTTAGCTCTATTACAGATCACCCAAAATACCTGAGAAAGTATCGGGCAGATATATTAGTAATGACACTGTTAGTCGTCCCTAATTTTCAGCAAGCATCACTCAAACCTGAGTGCATGGTGTATTTGTATTTGTTAAAGCTCTTAAGCTGTTTATCAGGTGCATGTTAGTGGGTGAAAAGAGCACCAGGACAGTGTATGAAAAATATCACCAGTGGGTTTTTTTTTTTAATGACTGGATATGTGACCTATAAAATCAGCATGTGTATTAAATGGAGCAGGAGAAACCTGGTTATTCACATATCTGTTTACATAGTAGATTTCTGATATTCTGTGTGCACCCATGTGTTGACTTCTCACCATCACAACCACTATCTTATTCACCCACAGAGACAGATCGGAACCAAGGATAAGAAGTTAATTATTCACTGTGTCCTGGTCCCGATTAGTACTACAAGTAACACAGGCACGTTTCTGAAAAGCAGAATGTGTACGTGTCTGCATGTTAGTCTGCTCAATAAAATACACAAAGATACCATGATTTCATATAACTAACATACTTGGAAAATATACCAACACACCTATTTGTCAGTCTACTTGTCCTGCAACTGGTGCATTGAGGACATTGGAAAGTTGTGTGAGCTCAGAAATATGTGCATGTTAGAAAAATTTGAACATTATCATTAAAAGCTTTAAATTGATTGTAATTTAATGCCAATGACATGCATCTTTTCATAATTAGGCATGTCATTTTGACTCTTTATAGATATTTTGGTCTAAGTAGTTTGAGTACTGAATTATTACTCAACTACAGTCCTGTGACAAAGTCTCAAATGACCCTAATTTCTGTATATTTTGCTAGGAGAATGGGAAATTGTTGCAAACATACATGGAAATACACTACAGAAGCAAATCGGAAAATCAAGATTGCATGACCATCTTTATTCAACATAGACTGAACTCGCTTATGCAAGCCTTCAGGTAATGTCTTCAAGAAATAGTTCTCTGGGCTTCTTGAAGGACATCCAAATCTCTTCTTTGGACCTTGACTGCCTTTTGTTGTGTTTAGAGCTGTGCAGCCAGTCAGACACTTTCCAGATAGTACTGCATGGTTTGATCAAAATATGGCACTTTACAATACTGATAAAAACCTGCTGCCACTGATTTTCAGTTCTTATGCAATTTCGCTTATCTCAGCCTTTCCTTCTCATTTACCTTAAGAAGGGCTTCTTGACAGTCACAACTGAGACCATTTCTGATATTCCGTTCACCAAGTTTCCAGCTAATAGCTCTTTGGGAATCATTGTTTTCTATATTCTATACCTATACTGGGAACAAATTCTGTGTTTTTGTGATAGTGTGCTTGTAACAACAGTTTAAAATTGGCTCTTTGCTAGGTTATCTGTCATTTGTAGATAGGCTTTTTTGTCTGAAGGACAAGGATAAATGTAAAGTGGCTTAATAAACCAACACAAAAGAAAAACACTTCTCTGAAGTGGTCAAGTGCAAGGGCTGGACTGGAAAGAAGTGACAAAGCAGACAATGTCCAAGGAAAGACTTTGAAAGACCTTCAAAAAACTGGTAAAACTTTGCTCCAAAATACTTAACCTTCCTCTTGCATGAGGGTCGGCAGTGGCCCTTTTTTTAGGTTTTAAATGCATAAAAGTGGATGTTAAATTTGTTTATTTCAACAAGACATTAGACTTTGTCAGGAATCTCCATTTAAGCAAAACAAAAAAAAAACTGAATTTAACTAAATTATAAAAAGTTCTGGTGAAAATGATGACCTTTGTGTGTTGGGGTTGGTTTCGACACAGTTATAATATAAGACTATAAAACTAAAAAGTTTTATGATTTCGGTTTTAGTGCTAAAACTGAAATCATAAACACACTCTGAGCTCTCCCACACTATCAGAGAGAGAGAGAGAGAGTACACATCTCCAGTTTGTAGCATACAAAAATAAGAAGATTTACAATAAGCCAAACTCTTGATCGTATCTTTGCTAAAGATGAGAGGACACAAAAAGCATAGCAATATAATTGACCATCTTTCTGAGGACAATAGATTATCAACCAGAGAACAAAGATACATCTGATGATGTCGTCACATGTGCTAGAGCTGCTCTCACTTCTGCTGAAACATACAAATCCAGAAGTGTTGACATATCTCCATCCATCCATCCATCTTCATCCGCTTTATCGGGGGCCGGGTCACGGGGCAGCAGCCTAAGCAGAGAAGCCCAGACCTCCCTCTCCTCAGCCACCTCCTCCAGCTTATCTGGGGGAACACCAAGGCGTTCCCAGGCCAGCCGAGAGATATAATCTCTCCAGCGTGTCCTGGGTCTGCCCCGGGGCCTCCTCCCGGTGGGACATGCCCGGAACACCAACTCCAGGGGGCATCCTTGTCAGATGCCCAAACCACCTCAGCTGGCTCCTTTCGATGTGGAGCAGCAGCGGCTCTACTCTGAGCCCCTCCCGGATGGCCGAACTTCTCACCCTATCTCTAAGGGAGAGGCCAGCCACCCTTCGGAGGAAGCTCATTTCCACCTCTTGTATCCGCGATTTCGTTCTTTCGGTCACTACCCACAGCTCGTGGCCATAGGTGAGGGTAGGGACGTAGATCGACCGGTAAATTGAGAGCTTTGCTTTTACACTCAGCTCCCTCTTCACCACGACGGACCGGTGTAGCGTCCGCATCACTGCAGCCGCCGCACCAATCCGTCTGTCGATCTCCGGCTCCCTTCTCCCATCACTCGCAAACAAGACCCGGAGATACTTGAACTCCTCCACTTGGGGCAGGAACTTGTCCTGACCTGGAGTGGGCACTCCACCCTTTTCCGGCTGAGAACCATGGCCTCAGATTTGGAGGTGCTGATCCTCATTCCCGCTGCTTCACACTCGGCTGTGAACCGTTCCAGTGCGAGCTGGAGGCCCTCACCCGATGAAGCCAACAGAACCACATCATCCGCGAAAAGCAGTTGTTGTTGACAAAAGCAG